ATAGTGCACAGAGTGGCATAATTCTCATGTTGTCTGAAAAGGTTAAAGTTACGTACAATCTGGGAAAGATTCGTGAAGAGATCAAGCTCTTTCTGATGAACAGACTGCATTAACATTTACCTCTGGAGACTCTGATTCCCTTGCAGGTAGAAAAGAGTTACCTCAAAGGAAGATAGTGCAGGTCTGTGAGAGGACCCTGTGTATGTGCCTGAAATCTGCAATATCAACCTCTGCTTGCAAGTAAAATTCATTTCTGGAGGTTTAATAGAGACCTATCCTGAAAAGGGCTGCACAGCCATAATAGCCTTACAAATAATGGGAAAACATGTCCTCTTTCTTTCCCAGCTGGAGAAAATGAGAAGGTATTTCTTGCTAAGCATTCTGTATTATTTGATACAGTCTGCCTAGGAAAAAGGGATGTGAACCTTGCTGGAGCGCCCTGGTATTCGTTGGCCAGCTTTGGCCTATAAGCTCGGATGTGTACGTGTTGAGGGAAGACGGGAATCAGACTTGCACACATTTTCATTCTTTTTCTTTATCAGAAAGCATCAGCTTAGGACTCGTGGAGAGCTACTGCACCTGTCATGCTCATTTTGCTTCCCTTTAGGCATTTTCAGTCTCTGTAACCTAGTGCTGGGAGACAGGATTTAATCAGTGGACACCCCCACTGTTAATAAACTCTGCCTCGTGGTCTCCATCAGGTCAGGAGACATGGGCAACGGGGCCTCTGAGCAGTATGGACATCTTCTGCTCAATACCCTGTCTTTACTGACAGCAACAATTTCTTGCAATTAGGCTCCTGCAGCAGGTAGTTAACCTGAAGGGCAACGGCTGATTGTCTCTATTTAACTTTTCTGCTTGACTTTAGCTTGGTATTCAAACCCCAGTGCTTTGCCATTACTTCCTTCCCTCTCTGTTCCTCCCAGGATGGAGGGTTATAAAGCAGAGACAACTGTTGTTAATAATCTAAATCAACCTTTGCCTTTCTGTGTCTCACCTTGAGCAGGAAGACTACAGTGAACAAAATGAAATCTGTAACACTCAATAAGGAAAGAACAAAATCAGCCACAAAAGTGAACTTTCTGTAAAATGGTGATAGCTGGGAGATGCGAGCGCTGAACATTGCAGGTCACTGAGTCAAAAGCGTCTGCTTACATGGACCTGAGGACTGAGACCAAAGCTGAAGACCTGTGGGTCGCTTTGTTTCCGTTCTGGCCGCTTGTCCATTTCAACTATTTCAGACAGATGCCTAGCTTGCAGAGTGTTTGCGGCAGCCTGCCAAAGTAATGATAGATATTGAAGCGCTGGCGGGAGATATTATATTATTGAATCCTTGATTATGATGTGAACTTTAAGAATTTATCTAAGAGTTCAAGCAGGCTGAAATAAAAATACAGCATTTGCACAGTGAAATCCCAGAGACTGTGGTTTTGTTTTAATGGGTTTACGACTTTGTTGCAGTAGGTCAGTGATGGTGGTTTCATTGTTGCTGCGTGTTAAGAATTTCCTTCCCCCCCCGGCCAAGGTCCCAGGACACTTGCAGCATGCATAAACTGAAATGTCCATGGATGTCTTAAAATGTGTGATCCCTAAGCATTAAAACTGAGTCAGTTTGTCTTGCTTTGATAGGGTGTTTTTGTACAGCTGTCTTTCAGATATACATTAGCAGCTTTTGTTATGTAGCCAAATGTAAGGTTAATAATTTCCAGGATTCTCATTGCTTTGTTTGGAAGCTCTAATCCCAAGAGCACAGAAATTGAGCAGTTTGGCCAGTCTGCAAATATTTACCATTAGTAGAGGCTTACAGATCAATTATAAACCTTTTTTAGTTTTCTTGTTTGTTTGGGGGAAAATAAGTCATTAGCACGTTATTAAAAATAAGCAGTGTTATACAGTAGGGTCCCGGAGGCAGGTATTAACATCTCCTGAGGCTAAGAATGAAACAGAAGGATGTATATTTAGAAAGCTAAACTGCATAGGGAATTAAATGTACAAGATGGTAGGACCACTGTGCTTTGAAAACAACAGTACAAAATCTCATCTTTGAGAATGAGTAAAAATGGCTCATGCTGCAGAGGAAATCAGAGTGGAAAACATTTTCAAAATTATATGGTCTCAATTTTCAGCAAAAGGAGATTGAAACTGTGAGAAGGGAGCAAGAGGGAATATAAAACTCCCCAGGTCCTGCCTCAATTTGTTGATTTAGTGACGGTCTGATTTCTTCTTTTCTGAAGCTAAAGATCAAATAGTTTTTAATTATGTATTTATTTATTCCCCCTTCACTCGAGAAACTAGAAGGCCATGTGCTGTCAAATCAAGTTCTTTCCCCTGTCTGCCCTGTTCTTGGAGACTCTTCAGGCTACGGGCATATCTGAAACCCGCTTCCCATTGTTGCTTTCACTGTAAACTACAGCATCACGATTTCTTTTTTCGGGACTGAAAAATCTCACATTTTAAGACTACCAGCCTGAGAACAGATAGTTCTTGGGGAATGTTCTGTGTTTGGTGATACAAACTTATAGCGTAGCGGGGTCTCTATTTTAACTTCTCACTTTGTGACTCAAACCCATCTGCAGTTAATAGGTTACTTTAGTGAGAAGACTCAACAGTTGAAAAACCAAAGGCAGGCCTCAGGTGATATCTTAGAGCATTCACAGTAAAATTTTGAGTTATAATTAGAAGCTGGTTTGGAGATATGACACAAGCCAGCTTCTGAGACTTGTGGTTGTGGATAAGAAGGGGAAGGGTAGCGTGGGCAACAAGAAGAGGCAGAAAGCTAAAAAATGCGAGTAATGTTACCTAGACTTCCTTGTCCAGGTTTTGGACATGTGTCTTGGTGAGGTTGATGCTGAATCAGGATCTTTCCATGCCCACCAATGGAGTTAGCCCATCTGACATCAATAAACTAAACACCCTCTACTTACCCATTCTTCCATAACACGACTGACTTAAAATAACGGCAATTAAAAAAACCACCATAATGTTAACATGGGGGTTGATTGCCATCTTCAGCTGCAGAGTTGTCTTAGCATGGATGTTTGTGCCGTCTCACAGCCGTGTTCCCATTTGAGGTTTGGAGATGATTACTTGGCGTAGCGGAGAGCATGCTGAAGGACAAGCCTTCTGCATCTTTTTTTTTTCTCCTTAGTTTTCTCTCTTTTCAGTGTGTCTTGGAAGGAGGCTTGCGCTTACCTTTGCTGTTTTGGAGGCCGAACATTTTCACAGAACTGTTCTTTTCTTCACCTAAATTATCTACGTGAGTCATCTGGAGAAACGTTCTTTCAATGGTTTTACAGGAAATGAATGATTATCATCAATACTAAGTAAATATATGTGTCCATATATTCTGTAATTTTTGAATTTATGACTTTTTTAACACAGACAGCCCTAAAATATCTCACTGAAGAGATGTTTACTGGATGTTAGGGGAAAGACACACGGCTTATTTGGAATCCTAGATCAGTCACTAGCTTTAATATCCCATTTGAAAGTGTGTTCACGTGTGGGTAGCAATACAAATATTTACAGTGGTGTTCATCTCATAGCTGTTTTCCCACTGTCAGTTATAAAAGGTTTTTGGAAGTAGTATGAAATACGCTGATTATTACAGTGTTTTTTCCTGCTGATGCATTAGGTGAAGTCAGTTTGGATGATATGTGCTTTACTTTCAAGAATTACTAGAAGGCTTTTTCCCTGCATTAATTCACTTTCAAAAATGCATAGCTAGTATTTGGGAGTCTTTGTGCTTTCTTTTTTTTTTTTTTTGTTTCTATTAAAGCGTTCTGTTCTTTTCATAGGTTGAAATTGTGAGAAAATATAAGAAGTCGTGAAGTACTTTAAATCGTGCTTTGAATCAAGAAATTCTGTGTGAAATTACATGTTTTCTAATCATATTGCTTAGATATATATTGAACAAAAAAGCAAACTGCACAAGTTGAAGAAATGCCAGATAAACTGTGGTGCATGTAGTATTGCTACCATGTGGCATATCTCAAACCCTTACTGATTTTGCTCCCTCATCCCTCATGCTTTATATCAGCATGTCTAGCCGGATATGCATTCATATTTTATGTAAAGGGCAGAGTCTGTAGTTAGAGCATTTGAGTTATGCTGTTAAAAATAAATTAAGGAACAGCAACTGAAAACAATTCCTACACATGAATTTTCAAACTTCACCTCAGTCAGATACTGTAGAAAGAATAAAGAGTGATCAAACTTTCAGGGGGTCAAGACCCCCTAAATCACATTGATATGATGTGATGTAAAACTTTCATTGGCACATGGCTGAGATGACCCAGAAAACTTGCTTAAGGAATGGTATGATCTGCTTATATGCCCCATTGCCAAAACAGCCAAGAATGCCTCCCCAAAAGTTTAAAAATTGAGGGGACAGAAGTGCTGAGACAGCAGAAAGATTACAGTGATGCTCTTCATTCTTATATTCTTATTCTTTGGTTTCTAAGCAGAACGAGTTCAGGGTTGACAGGAGACTCTAGGAGTTCTGAAGCTGAGAGTTAAAAGTTGAGAGACTTTTGTTCTTTCCTCTGAAAGTGATTTCCCATATAATTGAATCACTTAGGGCTGGACTCACCAAGGTATTTAGGCCCTTTAGGTAGTGCATCACAATTTTTTTTTTTTTTTTAGTAAGAAGGAAGAAAGTGTGACTTCTGTGCTACTTTCATGATAGGAGTCTTGCTCCTATCATTGGATTCCAGGACCTTGCACAGGAACCAGGAATGTGGCCTCTGAGCAGGACCCTATGAAAGGGCATTTGCAATGAAAATTCAGGATACATTTGTGGATGTGACATGAATGTCCTCGTATCTCCAGTCCTCTCTCTCAAAGTTGAATAATATCACTGAATTCCTTTACATCGATGAGAACATTTAAGATCCTAAGGCACTCAGATACTTCACTAATATGGGAGGAGGCATATTAATGGACAACTGACTTCTTTTAAGCTGTTTTCTTTTTTTTTTTTCCATCTGCTTGCTTCACAGATCCAGTCCACGGACCACAGAATGTCGAAGTTGTTGATATCCGCTCCCGGCAGCTGACCTTGCAATGGGAGCCCTTCGGTTACGCGGTGACCCGCTGCCACAGCTACAATCTCACAGTCCAGTACCAGTACATGTTTAACCAGCAAAAATTTGAAGCCGAGGAACTCATCCAAACTTCTTCCCACTACACCTTGCGAGGCCTTCGGCCCTTCATGACCATCAGGCTGAGGTTAGCCCTCTCCAACCCCGAGGGCAAAATGGAGAGTGAGGAGCTGGTTGTGCAGACTGAGGAGGATGGTAAGTTGTATTGTTTGGCTTATTTTTTGCGGGAAGACTGTCACGTCTCGAGTTGCAAATCACAATGTGACCCCTCCTCCCACAGGATTTATAAATGGCTTCATTGGACAGGATCTGGATTATGCAAGTAAAAGTTGTAGGTGTAAATATCTTCCATTTCACAGCAGTGCTCTCGAAAGGGCAGGGCTCCCTGAAGTCCTAGGAACGGCCAAACGCCGGGCAGGGTAGTCGCAGAACAGCAGTAGGTTTAATTCTATAGGAGTCGTGTTCTAAGCTACCAAACACCCTAGCTACTCTACCAAGGAGCGGTTTCCTGTCTCATATGGGCAAATATATGTCTGGCATTTGGTGATTTTCTTTTTCCCTCACATTACTACCCCAAAGGGCTGTATAATGTCTTCCTTTTCAGCATGTATCTCTTCTTGATGCTGGGCTTCTGGACATAACATTTTATGTATGCCTAGAATGCTAAATTGTGCTGACTCTTCCATTCATGATACAGAAGAGCAGTTTTCAGGAAGTACTGATGAAAAGCTCTAAGGTGTTATTATCCTATCTTAGTTAGCTCAGACCAGGGACTCTCATAGACTGCAAGCTCCTGCTCAATCTAAAGTGTTGAAAAGGAAGCACTCTTCCTCTGCCAGAGCTGTTAGGAGTTGCTGCCCAGAGTTTTGCTCAGCTGGAAGTGGCTCTACCATTCCAGTATATCATAAAGGGGATGTGAGACAGCAAATCTTTCAGAAAAATGAGCAAGGTTTCTCATCAGACGGGCTTGGAAGCGCTTTTAGTTATCTTTCACAGCATTAAAATTTGCTTGGGGAGGCGGATTTTTAGCTGGCCTTGTAGCCATAATGAAATATAAATCTTACAGTGTTACTCTACTAAGGAAATCAACCTTTCATATTGATAAAGGTGTGCTGGCCAATAGCATCTTTATGCCAAGGTGCAGTCTGGCTGTTTAGGTAGATGGAATTTTATTGTTGTGTAGGTGAAGAAGGGCACATTAAATTCCCTACTGACTGTAACTATCCTTTAGCATTGCAACCAGAATGTGAGATAATTCTGTTCTGAAACCCTCTCCATTCACTTTATCTGATAGCAGGTTGGTAAATGCACAAGCTGACTTGGGAGCAAAATGCAAATACCCGGTGCTGCAGGCTTACAAATTAGGGGAGAGCACATGGCCCTTACAGGAGGGCATCGTTCCTGTCCTGGTTGCCACTTCGGGTAATGCCTTGAGGTGTTACATGTATATGCCATGTCTAAAGTTTCCAGGTGGAGGACATGAGCTAAGATGGTAGTCATGGCAAGCATTGGCAAAGGAAGGTGAAAGAAGAGCTGGAATTACTCAATTAAACTAATTTCTGAAGGAGGCTATGCTGTTTAGATTTTTACAGATTCCCACAGGTGACTTTTTGTTAAAAATATAAATCCTGCTTCCTTGTGGGTGTACCATTGCTCTAAGTGTGTGGGAGCAGTGTTTGGTGGCTGAGGGAGGGTAGTAGGTTTGTTAAAGCCATGAAGTTGTTGACTGTTTCGTGGAGGGAGCACAGCTCTGTCAGAAATGCCTCTGTGTTGTTCCACAGGAGTTTTGAGAACAGGGAAGGGATTAAAGCAAGATTTGCTGTAACTTCACCCGTCATTCCTGTGGCTACTGTAGGCATTTCTGTAATTGCAGGGTCCTAATGGAATGGCCTGGCCTAGCTACCACATGCTACATAAGGGACCTCTGCCTTGGCCTCCAGCAGTTTAGCCAAACACTCAAAGAGAGAATTTAGGAGTCAACGCAGGTATGTTCTTTTGGTGACTGAGCCATAACTTGTCCCAATGATTGGTCAGATCCGTAACTGGAACTTCCTGGGCTGCCCGTACCCAGTGCAGTGAATGTGAAGGAGTCTAGCTCAGGGTAGCGTACAGAAGATGAGGCGTTTAATGATGAGAAGGTCATGTGGAAGCTGGGAGTAAAATTAAATAGTGTGCAGTGCTACCATTCCCTTCCATCACAGAGACAAACCTAGGTTATGTTCCCAGTTCTCTGACTGACCAGACTTTTGGAAAAACAGTACAGACCAGTCTGGATGTAGCATTGCCAAATGAGTGCTACTGGAGGTCTAGCGCCTTTGCTATCCAGACATACTCTGAGGTTTTCCAGTGGTATAACAACCTGTGGAAGCAGGACTGGTATCTTCATGTATTGGTACTTTCCTTTGAGAAGTGCGAATAATACTGCTTAAATCACCTTCTATTCATGAATCTTTATCTGCACAATGTTAATTACTATTATTTTCACTCGTGTAAATAGCTATACTTGAGACTATGTTAAATTGGGCTCATTGAAGTTTTTGCTTGAAAGGTACGTTTTTGGCACTTTAGTATCTAAATAGAAGGGAAAATTAGAAAAAATGCATATAGCAATGGAATATTGATATTTGGAAGTAATAAGATCAATGCATAACTTGGCATAAAATTAAGCAATTATTGTGTGATGTTATATGGGATCAGGAACCATAAATATATGTGTTTATGTGAGGAAAGCACTTCCTGGTGATTGACTAGATAAACTCTTCTAAAGTCACCTTCTGTAGTCTTTGATTCCATGTTAGGTACTCCGTGATCTACTGCTGCTATACTGTGCTGGAATAAGGACCTATTGACAATAACATCATTTCTTCATGGATTATGATTTTATTTATGGCCTAGTAGCTGGATTAGGGTTTTCTTATTTGAACCGAAGGTTGAGAATAGGCAAATGGTAGCACCTTGATGGTTTTGAGGGTCTTCTTCCCCTCAACTTTGAACATGCAGTCTGGTGGACTCTAACATGGGTTTTTTATTTCTGTAGTTCCTGGACCCATTCCCTTGGAATCCATCCAGGGAGGACCTTTCGAAGAGAAGATCTATGTTCAGTGGAAGCCTCCAAATGAGACGAATGGCATCATTACACTCTATGAGGTAAGAAGAACAGATTGTTGTCAATGAATACGTGCCACAGGGCCTTTTTCGTATGTATTTAAGCCAATCTCTGAGAGATTTCAGCAGGTGCTAAAAGAAGTCTGATTAAAATAGATGAGAATCTTCAAGATAGTCTGATGCTGTCACTGAAAATGCTTTAAAGTTAAAAAAAAAAATTTAATCTATTTTTATGGTAAAATGAGGGTCATACATTCCTCCACATCTCAGGTGTTTAAATGCTGCCCTTTTTTCTTCTGTGACATTTGCAAGATGTTTTCCTTTCCTTTCTGTTGCTCAAGGGGTACTTCTGTTAGTGTTTTATACTATCTTAGAATACTGCAGCTAACCGCTGTCTGGCTTCCTAGTAGTCATAACACTTTCGAGCCACTCTCGACAGAATACAGCCATTAGATGTTATCTTATACTTGTTGCTCTGAATACATATGTTCTTCTTTAACCTTTCAATAGTATCTATTTCTATCAGCACCCCCCCTTGCCCTCTCCCCAAACAAAACATGCAGCTGGTCATAGGATGGCCATGAGCCATCTTATACAGGATGAAAAAAACCAAACATGATTCTAGGGTGCATCAAAGGAGATATTCTGGCTGAGATATGGAGCATTAATGTTGTTGTATGTGGTTCTGGGGAGATTGCATCCGGCATGTCACTTATGCCCACGTGTGAGAAAAAAGAATTTTAAAGAAAGGACTGCTTGGGGGACGATGGGAAATGAGAGAAAGTCCAACAAAAGAAGATAAAGACACATTTATTAAACAGAATGTGGAGAGTGGTGCCAACAGTCTGAACTGGTGCTGACTGAGCATGCTTCACGTAATAAGTTCAGTGTCTACCACAGTATGCTTAAAAAAAAAATATTGCTTTTATGGTGATATAAAAATCTTTGCTGTGGCCTTATGCAGAATGGTGTAATGTGGAGGGGCAAGAACCACTTGCCTGTTTTCTCTTCAGTGCTAAGAGAATGCACAAACTTATTTTGGAAGAGGCATAAGTATGAGAAGTAAACCCTGACACTGCCAACAAGACTCTGGGCATGCTTTCCTCCTCCTGATCAGCTTCTTCTCAGTTTTGGAACAGCAAGTCATAGTCTAATATGTCGCTCCTAGGTCTGCTCGGTCACACTGGGTTACGCTGAGTGTGTATAACACAGTGATTGTCCAGTGGAACAAATCAGCTACGTTTAACATCGGTCAACTCCTTGCACTACAGCACAAGCAAGAGATGACAGTTTTCTCCTGGGCTTAAATGTAACTGTACTTCTAGGTGCTCTATCCAGCTGGCTTGCAGAAAGGTACATTGAGTTTGATATAGTAAAACTAAATAAATAAAAGTTCTTTGTGCTGATTTGCTGTCATTTCAGCTAGGAAAGGTCTTTGCCTAAGTAAGCAGTCATGTTTTGTTGGTCACTGCTCAGACGTTTGTTAAAATCTGTGTAGATTGCATATCATCTGTCCAGTATACTGGAAGTAGAATTAACCCTCCAATTCCGTGTTGTTTGTAGGTGTACCACAGGCTATCCTGTGTATATGTGTAAGGAATTATATAATAAAGCTATCTATATTTTTTAAGGGACTGGTTTGAATAGAATCAGTTGCCAAGTCAGTATTATTCTGGCAGCACCGGTGACCTGTAATAGGACACGTTTAGAAATATTCTGAGTCAAATGATGCAAAAATATCTCCTTTTAATGTTTAAAGAGGCAGTTTCCAGCCAAAATATTGCCTTGGGCTCAGCTCATTGAAAGGACTTCAGCAATCTTAGTAGCTTTTCTGGCTGAGTAGCTGTGTAGAGATACTTTAATGCCTGCAGGGTAGTGATGCATCATGGCAGTGCCTTTGCCCCTCAAGTTGCATCATTGGTCGAGTCTCAGTGGAGGCGCACACAATATTCCATTCCCGATAGTGATTCTACACATATATGACAGCTGAGGCCAAAGAGAAGTCAAGGTGAATTCCAGCTCTTCTTCCTTTTCCTCCTCCCCCTCATATCCAGAAAGATGAAAATCCAAGTGTTAAAAACATCAGGAGAACTGAAATGCCTGAAGGTTGACACGAATAGAAGCACTTCCCTCTCCTCTGCCTTTTTGCACGGGGATATTCACAAAGAACAGTCCTGCATTCTGAGACAAGTGTACAGACATGCCTGGAGTTCATCAGTTGGAGATAAAGGTATAGATGACCAGTTATGCACGGCTTGGAGAGATGGCCAGAGCACTCTCAAAGAAGTTGTCAGGATGTTCAAGTCCCTACCACAAGTGATGGTATGAGTGCCTGTTCCAGATAACAGGAGATCCTGGTTTTGATACTTCTCAGTAAATAAAACATGGGTCTTTGCACAGAAACATTTCAGCCTGCAACTGAAGTGTGAACTTCCTGGAAGTACCGAGAAACTTTCTGTATTGCCCAGGAAATGGATAGATACTTAATACCTGCAAATTTGTGCTGGTGTTATTTTAAGGTTTCATGCCATGTGTATAGGACCAAAGTAATTCCTCAGCAGTAATGACCTCCAAAGCATTATTGTAGACAGAGTTCAGCCATTATTCAGTATTGTCATGACCTTGTACTCTTTTAACAGAGTTCAGCTGGTCTATTGGTTAAAGAAGAAGAAAAACCTAGTGGTTAGTGGGTGATAAGTTTTCAGTTCTTTCAGATATCAGTGGTCTGCAGTACTGATACGGGTAGGGGTAGAAGGCTTTCACAACAACAACAAAAAGGTCAAAGCTGCAGCCCTAAACTATGAACCTGCGTAGCACTATTTAATGCAGTACCTGTAGGGAGTACTGTTTCTGAAAACAACACCTGCAGTGCCAATCTATCAGCAATAAAAGCTGGGAGACTCAGCGATGTGCTGGGAAATTTGCAGCTATCTAGAAACTTCACAACTGCTTTGTTGCCTTTAGGGAGAAAAACGCCCAAGCACCTACCAAAATTTAAGGAAAAATCCTTTTCAAAGTACAGATCAAGAAACATCCTTTTATGAATTTGGGTTAGTGATGTCAAGATCTGCATTACACCACAAAGTAACTGGCTAGATTTACATACAAGTATCCTGCAGTTAATAGTTTCTCAAACTCCCTTAGGCACAAACCCTCCTAAGAAAGCCTGCACCTTTGCTCAGCTACGTGATACTTCTTACCATCACCGTCCAGCTTTATTGTAGCTTTCTAGGTTCAAAGTACATAAGTGCTTACACGAGACAGGTAGATCAAGCTGTATTCAAAACCACAGCTAAACAGCGATGATGGATTTTCTCCATACGTTGGTTTGGTTAGACTGCCCTGTATAGGTATTTTTGCATGTGACGTTCATGAAAGAGGCCTTATTATAGCTGTCTCTTAGCTAGCTGTGAGTGGCAGAATCTAATAATACTGGAACAAATCCTGTCTCCCGTTCTCTCTCCTGGCAGACCAAAAGCACTGCAGCTTGTTACTGCTTTTTACCCATCGTGTAAAAGCTGCTACGCTTTAAAATCCCTAACAATGACATGATGCTTAGTGTGCTTATACCATGTGGGAGTTCAGCTGCAAAGCCTGTGTGTACAAAGGTAGGCAACTATTTCTTTTCACCCGAAGTGTGTGTAAAGTCAATCCAGCATCAAACAGTAGAAAGATCTATGCTGTTATTGGATTGAAGGAACGTGCAATCTAATTCAAGGTCGCCAATCAGCTTTTGCAATTAAGTTGTCCTGCTTTTAGATCAAATGAGGTTGTCTCAGGCGTTTATTTCCTAATCCAGACTGAAGTGCTCCATATACACATATGGATCAAGGTATTTTGTGCAAACTTGTACTTAATTTTGAAAATGTAAATAATTGTGTATATCTGCATTTTGCTGTCCATTTTCGGCAGCTGAGTACTGGTGTACTCAGTGTTGTTGGTTTTCGCCCTTGTAAACATGTTCGTTGGTAGGTAATCACTTTTTCAGAATTGTCAATTTTTACAGTGTTTCCCCTTAAAGGGAAAGAAAGAAGAAAAAAATGCAGCAGTCCTGTCTAACATATTTGTCATGTTACTTGAAGGAAAGGCATTGTTACAACACATTACAATCCTGAAGGCATTTAAAGAGTGACTACAGTATATTCAGCTCCTTGGCTAGAAAAATAGCTTTCAGATTGGTGAAGTCCCTTTCAATGAGCCATGCCTAAAGGCAATGTTTAAACAGCAGACTGTCTTTTTAAACATTGCAAGGTGTATTCTTGTAATCACTGATGTTCTCATCTTTACGATTATTAAGTCCCATGTGGGGTTGTACATGGATCTTGAGAAAAATAAGAACTCATTTGCAGCTTTTAACCAGCTAGTTTTCTCAGTTACCATTTCTGAAATGCTGCAAATCTCTGTTTAGATGCCAAGAATAGTAATATAAGGGACTTTCACACATAATTTCAACTCCTTAATGGGATGCTTGGAGCCTAGTTCCCTTAATCCCAGTGGATTTGAGTTTAACTTGCACTTCCGAGGTTACAGATCCTCTTAGTTGCCATGTGAAATTGCAGTCTGCCCTTCATCATCACTCCAGTTGCCAGTACTCCATTTCTCCTCCATCGCTTCACTCAGTTTTTCTCTGCAGGAGAGGTCGTTATGTGGAAACGGTCTCTTAGAGGGTCATGTATAAGGTCAACTTTTGTGGGATGCACTGTCTGCATTTACAATAGAGAGGAAACAAATTTCTTCTAGCTTTGACCTTTGAAAATGCATACTTACAACACAAAGTGTGACTGTCTGGTATGATACCTATCCACTGCAGGGTTATGCATGTGTTTCTATTCATAGCCTTTTTTTAAGGTTTTCATGAAACCTGAAATTTTTAGGATAAAATTTTCCCTGCTGAAAGGTGCAGGAAACAAGATTTTCCTGGAAAAGCTGAGAGGGGTGGGAGCTGAACTTGGCTTAGCCATTTATTTGTTTATTCAAGGGCTTGTTCTTGGTTAAGAGCAGTGAAAAACGGCTCCCACAAGGAGGAAAGCAACAACCACAAA